TCTATACGTGTTAATATGCACAAGATTTTAATCGCAAACATTTTGCTGCTATTGAATGCTACAGAATTCTATGGCAAATTGCTTACCAGGACACTCTGTGGAGATAAGTTCAGCTCGCTCTTGAGAAAAATTATTTCTTAGAAAACAAATGAGTTTTTGTTGGCTTAATTAAATGAGGTATCCCCCGTTTTAATTACTAGATTTGATTGATTTGATTACTAGATTGAGGAAATTGAAATGCCATTCCTCAATCTCACTGGTCTCAAATTCACTGATAAAACTTTTCCCCAAACTAGTAAGTGGGGTAAGTATAACCTCCTAGGTGGGTACCCACTGGCCGCTCTTGAACTGATTTCCAGTCATGTCCTCCATATGTAATTTTTATAAATTAAAGGTAATATTGTATATTAAAGATCAAATAAAGATGTTCCTTAAGTGAAAGTCTTTGTTTATCCTTCATTTGTACCCACTGATGGCAACAGAGTTCAATCTTCCTACTTACATGACAACTTTGGCTTTTTTTTTATAACTGGTAGTCTTCAGTCTCCTACCTTCAGAGAGTATTTCTTTTGATTCAGCTGATGTTTACACTTACCGGTTTATTGATTTTTTTTTTAAAGATTTTATTTATTTATTCATGAGAGAGAGAGGCAGAGGGAGAAGCAGGCTCCCAAGGAGGAGGGAGCCTGACGCGGGACTCAATCCCGGGACTCCAGGATCATGACCTGAGCCGAAGGCAGACGCTTAACCATCTGAGCCACCCAGGCGCCCCCGGTTTATTGATTTTTTTTAAAGATTTCTTTATTTTGGAGAGAGAGCGCATGTGGAGGGGAGGGGCCGAAGGAAAGAAAGAATCTCAAGCAGACTCCCCTCTGAGTGTACACTCAGGAGCCCAGCGCGGGGCTCGATCTCAGGATCCTGAGATCATGATCTGAACCGAAATCAAGAGTCAGACGCTCAACCAACTGAGCCACCCAGGCACCCCTGTAAAGGGTAATTTTTATCCCATCTGATTTTGAGAAAACTAGCTATAGACCCTATGTGACAATCTTACAGTGTTACTGTGCCTGGTACCTCTAAGACCCAGTCCAACCGCAGGTCATCGAGCTTAAATCCTGCCTTAGTCACTGGATCTCATTCTGTCACATTAAAGTCTGACCTGATTCTTGAGCAAAGACGGGCTTTGGGGGCCTGAGGAATCGGATCAGCTAGACTATAGATAAGTGGTTTAATCTATCAATACTGTAAAGACAGGGTTTTTAAAACCTTGAGCGCATGTGGCATCAAATAAGGTAGTGGTAAAACCTGAAGCAACAGCTAATTTACAACCAGGGTCTCATCCTTCCCGGCACAGTGGATTTCAACTTGATCAAAATTTTAAACAAGGAAATTTACCTCGTGGGCATATCAAAATTCATTGCGGACTTGCGTTTTCAAGAACAACAAAAACAGGACCAGATAAAAGAACAAGGATCTCTGGGTGACTCCGATTTGATAAAATCTGGGCCTCTGTCTGCCAGATACCTGCAATTTCCATCATTATTTTATTGGGTTACAAAAGATTGTCAACATGCAAATAGCACTCACGTTAAGAGAATGGGTTCATCACAGAAACATCACAGATGGGTGATTCCTGGAGGGTGGGCGCATGGAAATGCCACAGGGCACAAACCTCTATAAGGTGAATAAATTCTGGGGATGTAATGTACAGATGATAGGTTTGTATTCCGTACTTGAAACTTGCTGCGAAAGTAGGTTTTAACGTTCTCATCACACACAAAAAGTATGCAAGAGGATGGGTATGTTAACCAAGTTTATTGTGCTGATCATTGCACAATATATACCATATATCAAATCATATGCAGCTTAAGTTTGCACCCCCTTTGCCAATTCTATCTCAGTAAAGCTGTTTTTAAAGAAGCGTGGAACCCATATGCTTTTTTTTAAAAGCTTTACTGAGATGGAATTGGCATAATGTGTAAGATGAAACTGCACCTCATTGGCTGACCTAAGAATTTTTTAAAATTCTGTGATAAATTTAAAATGTGCTATTTAATCAGTGTTAAGGGTACAGTGCCTTGGCATTAATAGTTACCTTAATGATGTTCTGTAAGCATCGTCACTATTTCTAAAACTTACTCATCACTTCCAACGCATCTCTGTAACCATTAAACTTGTTCTCCCTTTCCCCTCCAAAAAAAAAAAAAAAAAAAAAAAAAATCTCAATTTCTTAACCCCAAGAGAATCACCATTTTCTTGTTGGTAAAAAGAGAATAATAAAGGATTTTCAGGAGAATTTTCATTTGAGAAGAAGAATCCATGTACCTGGCCTGAAATGAGTTCACAAGTTCTATCACTGTTTCTAATTATTTTTATTGGCAGATCAGAGTAATCATTTCTAAAGGAATAGAAAAATTTTTTAGTAAAGAGGGGAAGGGCATGGGTGCCTGGGTGGCTCTGTCGGTTAAGCGTCTGACTCTTGATCTCAGCTCAGGTCTTGATCTCAGGGTCATGAGTTCAAGCCTCGCATTGTAGCATCGTACTCCCTGCAGGGCATGGAGCCTACTTAAAGAAAAAAAGAAAAAGGGGGGAAGGGCAGTTAGGTCAGAAAAGGGCCAAGAAAACCATCTAGTTCTACCTCCTTATACATAAGGAAATTAAAATCAAAAGAGGGGTAAAATGAAGGTATTAGATAATCTTTAAGATGGTTTTCCAGTTTTGTCATTCATGATTCTATGAAATAAGACGTGCAGTTTTGTTACAAAAAATTTAACGACAAATATGCTCATAATATATATGAACCAAGCAGCTTATTTATTTTAACCAAGCAGGTTTTTTTTTTTTTAAGATTTTATTTATGTTGACAGAGAGAGACACAGCAAGAGAGGGACCACAAGCAGGGGGAGTGGGCGAGGGAGAAGCAGACTCCCCACTGAGCAGGGAGCCCAATGCAGGGCTCCATCCCAGGACCCTGGGACCATGACCTGAGCCGAAGGCAGACGCTTAACGACTGAGCCACCCAGGTGCCCCTTTAACCAAGCAGTTTAAAAACTATAGAAATCATTTTTTTTTTTTTGCTAAAACAGCAAAAAATGTAGATTAAAAGTGGCCCTTATCTTTGTGGGGTAAGGTTATAAGAACTAATTTCTTGATATTTGCTTGCTTAAAAAAATAACAGCTTTCTTGAGGTGTGATTTACATCAGGCTTTCCCACTGCAAGTGGGAACTAGTGGATGCTGAGTGAGCTTACAGGGCATACAACACTCTGCAACAGCATGCCCCACTTGCAGTCGATCTTCGTTCCTATCCTGGTTTCCGACAACCACTAATCTACTTATAGATTTGCCTTTTCTGGACACATACACACGGCATCATTCACATGTGGTCTTTTGCCTCTGGCTTCTTTAACCTAGCGTAACATTTTCAAGCTTTATGCTGTAGCAAGTATCAGGAATGTTCCTTTTTGTTGCTGGAAATACTTCATTGTATGGATATATCATAGTTTGTTTATCCACTCACCAACTGATGAACATTTGGATTGTCTCCACTTTTTGGATATTGTGAATAATGCTGTTATGAACGTTTGCAGACAAGTCTTTGTGTGCACATATGTTTTCATTTCTTTTTTTTTTTAAGATTTTATTTATTTGACAGAGACACAGCGGGAGAAGGAACACAGCGGGGGGAGTGGGAGAGGGAAAAGCAGGCTTCCCGCTGAGCAAGGAGCCCGATGTGGGGCTCGATCCCAGGACCCTGGGACCATGACCTGAGCTGAAGGCAGACGCTTAATGACTGAGCCACCCAGGCGCCCCTGTTTTTATTTCTCTTGGTTACATACTTAGGAGTGGAATTGCTGGGTAATATGGTAAAGTTATGTATAACTCTTTAAGGAACTACTATATTGTCTTCCAAACTGTTTTTACATTCCCACCAGCTCTGCACAAGGGTGAGAGTACCAGCTTCTCCACAACCCCATCAACACTTGCTATTCTCTCTCATTTTTAATAGCCGTTTTAGTGGGTGTGAATTGTATCCCAGTGTAGTTTTAATTTGCATTTCCCTAGTGACTAGTGATTGAATATCTATGCTATTAGCCATTCCTCTATCTTTTGTAAAATGTCTGTTCAAATATTTTGCCCATTTAAAAAATAGGATTGTTTGTCTTATTGAGCTGTAAGAGCTCTTTATATATTCTCTATTTTCTTTTCTTTTTTTTACAGAAACGCTTTTTAGTTTTTAATGAACTTGTAAACAAAAAAGCTCCCATTTCAAAATAAAAACAAAATCCCAGATCATATAGATGTTTATAGTGATTACATTTATCTAAGCAACATACATACATGTTCAGTTGTAAGATGTTAACTAAATTTCTGTGACAAATATGTTTTTTTAATACCAGGAACATTATAGAGTTAATGCAGAGTCCTAAGGATAATCTAGTAGTCACTAAGTTTTTCTTAAGTCTTCACTTTAGATGCTGTTATTTCTAGCACAGGTAAGCAGGCAGAGTCTTTCGTGTGCTCAAACACTGGAATCTTTGTTTGCTACCGTATCAGCTGGCTTGCAAACAAGAAGCCAACCATTTTAAGAATGTTGTAAGTGAACAGCTTGCAAACCCCAGGGATGGATAAACCCTAAGAATGCACAATTGTGAGCATTTACAACCATCACAACTGTGGCTGAAGACTGTTCATGCCGTTCTTCTGAAATGAGATCTCAAAGCAGTATAGTTCAAAATAAAAGATTTTAACAAAAAAATTGGCATATGCGCAATTTCTCCACCAATTTGTGTGTGTCAACCATTTAGTTAACTTTTCCACTTGAAAAAAGTGCAATAGAAAACTGGACACCATGTTTCACTATCTCAGTTAATATTCACAATTACAGCGGCTACAACTCGGGACACGGCATCACCAATGCTGCCCGGAGCCAGTTTATACTGAAATTAAGTTCTTTACACTAAGTAAATGGTTGTTCACTGGCTAGTGTACATAAAATTTCTAGATTTGGGGAGAAACAAATGCTGCTCCGATCATCTGCTCTGCTTTTTCCATGTCATCTCGGCGACTCTGTTCGATCCCAAGATGTGCATTGATGCTAGCGTATCGAGCAGTGCCAGTGAGATTTTTATCTTCTCTGTATGGTATGTGTTGCCTTGTCCTGTTGTCTCTGTACTTTTTGGCCAAACCAAAATCAATAAGGAATGACTTATTACAGTGACGCCCAATACCCATTAGGAAGTTATCTGGCTTAATGTCTCTGTGTATAAAATTCTTTGTACGCACATACTCAATTCTACTGATCGTCTGGTCAGCTAACATAAGTACGGTTTTCATTGTGAACCTGCTTGAACAGAAATTGAGGAGGTCTTCAAGGCTGGGTCCAAGAAGGTGCATGACTAGCACATTGTAGTGTTTTTCCTGACCATACCACCGTATGTGGGGGATGCCCACCCCACCTTGAAGAATCTTAGAGAGTTTGCTCTCGGACAGCAACTGGGGATGCCTGGCCTTCTGAGATTCTAGCTTCACTGCCACTTCCTCGCCGCTGGTAATGTTGATCGCCAAATAAATGTCCCCGAAGGAGCCAGACCCGATCTTCCGTACCAGTTTATATTTCCCTCCGACGATGAATTCGGCCTTGGAGCCGCTGCTGCTCGCCATCCTCAGAGATGAAGATGGAGGCTGGGGCCAAGCCCCGACACCTCTGAGGGGAGGACGGAGGCCTCAGGGGCTCGTCCGCGGAGCGAGGCAGCGGAGGAGAGCGGCAGGACACGGAAAACGTTGGCTCTTTCAAGGCGTCACGGGGCCCAGAATCGGCCGAGGGGAGCCGGCTCACCGCCGCTCGATTAGGCTTCTTTTCGCCAGGCCGCAGTTTGTGAGTGGGTTCTCTCGGTTACGAGGCTGGGCCACTCGTTTTTGGGGCGGCCGCCGCTGGGTCGCTTTCACGGCGACGTCGCGGGCTGGAAAAGGGGCGCGGTGGTTTAGGGCGGCGACACCGCTGCCACCGCTGCCGCCGGCTCCCGCCCGGAGGGACCCCGGTCCCTCCGCCGACGCCGCCATCTTGTTACTCCGGCTCCAGCCAACACCCTGGATTTATTTTCTTTAACATTGTGGTTTAGTCTTTTCGTTTTTTAATGGTGTACTTTGAAATACAAAATATTTTTATTTTGATAATGGGCAGTTTATCAATATTTTCTTCTTTGGATTGTCCTTTTCTTGCCTAATCCAAGGTTACAGAAACTTTAGACTTATGTTTTCTTGTAAAAGTTTTGTAATTTTAGCTCTGACATTGAGGTCTAGGATCCATTTTGGGTTAATTTCTCATGTATGTATGGTAAGGGTCTAAAGTCATTGTTGCATGTGAGTAATTATGCTAGTACCATTTATTGAAAAGACTACTCTTTCCCTATTAAATTGCTTTGACACCTTTGTGAAATATTAATGTATCATAAATGTGAGATTTTACTACCGGATTCTTAATATTGTTCCATTGATCTTTGATTGTCTTGCCTTGTGTCAGTACCACATTATGTTGATTACTATTGCTTTAGGTCAGTGGTTCTCAGCTCAGGGCAGTTTTGCCCTGCGTCCCCCAGGAGACCTTTGGCAATGTCGGAAGACGTGTTTGGTTGTCCTAACTGTGGGGGAGAAGCGGTGCTGCTGGTATGGGGGGGCGGTCACCGGCAGTGGTAGTATTTATTGACTCCCTGATAATAGTTTACTCTTGTTTGCATATCTTATAATTTTTTATTGAAAAATGGACATTTTAGGAGCGCCTGCGTGGCTCAGTCAGTTAAGCATCCAACTCTTGATTTCAGCTCAGGTCCTGATCTCAGGGTGGTGGGATCGATCCCCGCATCAGGCTCTGCATTCAGCCTGAGGTTGGCTTGTCCCTCCTGCTCTGCTCCTCCCCCCTACCTCTCTCCTCTCTCTCTCTCTCTCTCTCTCTCTTTCAAATAAATAAAATCCTAAAAAAACAAAAGAGAGAGAGACAAAAATGGACATTTTAGGTAATTTATTTTCGTAGCAACTCTGGATTCTGATCTGTTCTCCACCCAAAGAGGAGGTGGTTGTTGCTACAGCTGTTTTTTATTTGTTTAGTGATTTCCTTGGACTAATTGTGTGAAGATTTGTCTTTCCTGGCCACTGATGTTTCTGCTCAGTTTTGTATTTTTAAATCTTGTTTATATTTTTATTTTTTATTATTTTTTAAAAGATTTTTTATTTATTTGAGAGGGAGAAGGAGAAGCAGACTCCCCGCGGAGCAGGGAACCCGACGACCAGGGCTCCATCCCAGGACCATGACCTGAGTGGAAGGCAGACACTTCACCGACTGAGCCCCCCAGGTGCCCCTAAATCTTGTTTGTATTTTTAGATCTGGCTTCCTGGAGCCAACCCTGTGTCAGCATAGCTTGGAGATCAGTCAGTAATTTGTACAACAAAAGTTGTACTCAAATACCTTTAGCCAGTAAGGGCTTCCACCCTTTGCCACTGGATCTGTGTGTAGGTTGGGGAACACATTTCAATGTTCAGGCAGTTGACAAGTCTTCCCTAGCTTTTTACCCTGGGCCCTCCTGTGTATGTTTTGCCTGTATGCAAGGCCTCACAGTCAGCTAGGAATGTGTATGAATGTCCAGGGCTCCCTCTGGTTTCCCCTGAATGTGTGCACTGCCCTGTTTTTGTGCGCAGCCTTCCAGCCCACCAGGGATGCGTGGCAAGCTCTAGTATGGCTGTGTCATTCCCCGGATCTATCTCCCTGGGACATTTCTGGCCAATGTGCCAACCTGTGGCTTGTCCCAACCAGAACCGAAACCTCAGACTAGCCCTGTTCACCTTTCCTATTCATTTGCCACTGAGGTGGCTTCTGTCCCTAACAATGCCCAAGGGCATGTTTTCTGCACACCTCTCCAGATCAAGTCGTCCCCTCCCAGCTTCTCCTGTTCCTGCTAGAACTGCTGCCCAGATGGAGCTGGAAGGGAGCAGAAGGAAGCTGGACTAGAAAATGTGAATGTGATGCATAAGATAATTAGTATGGTTATTATATTCCACACACATTTATCGAACTTCTACCCACTGTTTCCAGAGCTCTAAAAAGCTTCAAAGATACATAAATCAAAATAGAATCTCCACCCTCATCTAGGGAGGGACTTGGCCTGCTTAATATTGTGACAAATGCTCTAATAGAGGAAAGCATTGTGTGTTCTCTATAGTAGGAGGAGTACATAATCAAGCTTAGGAGGATGGGCTTGGAGGAGGGAGGATAGTCAAGAGCGATTCTTCAGGTCGCTGACATTGGAACTGAAGTGAGTTTGAAGATAAGGGGGAAAGGAGCTATCTGATAAGGCAAAGATAGCTGAAGAAGCCAGGGGATATGATTTCCAAAGGTGGGAAGACTAGCCTCGAACTTGAGAAAAGACACCCACTTCACAGAGACCCATAAAACCATCCTCTCCTGCAGTCCTTTTCAGGCCCCGAAACTGCACCGCTCATGGCGCAGGGTAGGTCCACAGGGACCACCGCCCCCTCCCCCTCCCCCCCACCCACCGAGGGTCCCGGCAGTGGCTCTCCCTTCTGAAAGCCTGGGTTCAGACATCCGCAAGGAGACACAAAAAAAAGAATGTATTTAGGAAGTGATTAAGGGACTCCCCTGGAAATATCTTTCGAAAATACTCATCAAAACTTTGGATGACTCCAAGATGAATGAGCGTGGGCAGGGTGTTTTGAAACAGTTCAGCGGTAGGAAGCCGGAAATGCACGCCACTAGAGGGCGGTCGTCTCAATTTACTTTCTTGTTCGTTCGCTCTTCAGCTGGTTGAAGCGTGGGAGGCTAGAGCTGCAGGGAAACCTCTTGCTCATGTTTTTTCAGTACACCCTAACGTTGGCTAACAGAGGATGCCCCAGCTCCGGGCTGTGGGGCAAAGTGAGACTAAGCACTCGCTGGGACCTCTAGCGGTCCCGCCTGCCCCGGAGCTCGTGCGCCACCGATACCAAGTCCCCCACGGAATGTTAGCCGAGCAGAAGACAGACGTCGCCTGAAAAATACTTTAACATTCCTCTCCAAATATGACCTCTCCCTTCCTTTAAAGGCTTTGAACTAATAGCTACGAGTTATTAGAAGATGAAAAATACCTCCAATCAGAAGAGAGACCTAGACAAATTCTAATTCGAACGCTACAAACGATTTTAGCTCACATGGGGACACGTTGCTGATTGGTATATGTAATGACATTTTATGAATCAAATGATAATTGCTCACCGTGTTTCTTATTTATATTACTCCGCTTAAGTCCTTTCGGAATTATTTTTTCCTGAAACATTTCTTGAGCATCTATGTGCCAAGAACTGTGCCTGGTGCTGGAGATTCGGCACCAACTCTTGACAGGTGTGGATCCGCTGGGCTAGAAGAGGGTGGACCCGCAAGCCGAAAAGCATGCTTTCTAGCAAAGGTGTGTCCCAAATGCCACCGGAGCTGGGAAGAGAGCACTGCCGCGGGCAGGCACAGGAGGCTAGGACAGCGACCCAATGAGATAATGAGCCCTGACTGTGAGGGAGCCCCCCCTGCCCCGTCTGCAAAGCGGGGGAAGTGAGTTTTGCTAAGCAAGGAGGAGGTCTGAGCTCACAGAGAGAAGGGTTAGACTGAAGCTGGAGAAATGAGAAGCTCGTTGGATGTGGTAGGAGTCCGGCTGCAGCAAACAGGGAAGGGCAACCTAGGAAAAGGGAAGGTCATATTGAAGACACGGAGGCAAGGAGGAGAGTGCCTTTTCCAGCCACCAGGCCTTGGAGGAGGGGCTGCTGGGCGGTCAGCGCATTGCCCTGTGGCAGCGAGCTGGGGGCCGACCCGACAGGTACCTGGCCCGACACTTGAGACCTGCGATGACTCACAGTCACCTGGGTGACTGAGCGAGGGAGATGGGATGGCTCTGTGGTTTTGAAGGGTCTGCGCAGAGAACCCGTTGGTGGGGGGCAGTGAAGAGTCTGCCGAAATAATCCAGATGAGGAACGATGGTGACTCAAGACCGGTAGTGAGGGCAGTGATTTGGTCAGTCTTCTGAAGCTAAAGCCAACCTGACTTGTTCACTGGTTGGTGACCATGAACGGAAGAGAGAACTCAGGGTCGGTGCCCAGGTGTGTGACCCAAGCACCCGGCAGGATGGGGTTACCACTTACTGAATGGGAAAGACAAAGATTTGAGAGGGGCGCACTGAGGCCTTTGCTCTTGCGCACACACAGTTCCTGCTGGACCTGGAAGTGCATGGGGAACATAAACAGTGGGCAGTGCGAGCCTGGAGTTCAGGAGAGTCTGGGTGGCGGGGGGGGGGGGCAGAACTTTGGCCGGTGGTGCGCACAGAGCCACTGAGACGCGTGGAGGCACGTGCTGGGGTCCCCGGGAGGCGCTGGGAGAGCCCGAGAGCAAGGGAAAACTGCGGCTGCTCAGTGGGCAGACAGGGGAGGGAAATAACCTGGGCCAGAGGAGCCCAGGATGGACACAGGCAGTGTGTGCGTGGGGGATGGGGGACAGGAGGGAGGGAAGTGGGTACTGTGCGTGCAGAAGAGTGTGAGTTCTATATGGGTAAAGGGGGCTGTTCACGGTGGGGGTGGGTGTCCTGGCCTGGCGCCTAACCCCCCCTCCACCGGAATCCCACGTCTCCTTACTATAGGGAAGCTCGGGGTACGGGGGCCAGCGGGACCGCCTCCACTCCTGCACTTAGTGAAGGGCATTGCAAGCCAGAAAGGATGA